TCACCTAAAATCGCCCAAAACTGGAACACTTTGCCAAATGATCTTAAGACAGAAACATCTTTGAAACGTTTTAAAGATAAATTAGCTACACATCAACTCTCTGTTCTCTAATCACTGATATATATTTAATATAATTAAATTGCATGCACGGCTTACGGGAAGAACAAGGATGTAAATATGTAAATATGTTTTCTCTTTGATGTAATTACCGTGTTGAAATAAAATTTTTAATAATAATAATAATAATATAATATATATTATATATATATATATATATATATATATATATATATATATATATATATATATATATATATATATATATATATATATAATAAGTGCAACGACTCAACAAATTCCACTAGTTCTCAACAAATTCCACTAATTCTTCTAATTCCAATTTGTTGAGTCGTTGCACTTATTTAATTATGGTCTGGATATCCATTGAGCACTCTGTCAAATGTTTTTGTAAACAACGAAACCTAATTCTATATATATATATATATATATATATATATATATATATATATATATATATATATATATATATATATATATATATATATATATATATATATATATATATATATATATATATATATATATATATATATATATGTGACAAATGCCAGTACTCTGCTCAGCCGACAAGACTTCATATTTGACAAACAGAACGGCTACGTTTGAAGAAGTTTAAAAAAATATATATATATTAGATACAAAAACTAAATTTTCGGCTGCATGCCACAGCCTTCTTCAGAGTGCCTAGCTTTACACAGAACATACTTATATACAATGAAATTATGAAGAAATTAATAATAGTAGTAATTTATTCATAATTTATTGAGATATATATATATATATTAATTAACGTTACAAATATCTTAAAATAACAATGTTTTTTCGCTACTCTGATTTTCACGATCTTGTCTGATCGATCTTCAGGCGATTCTACTGTACTGTTTATAGTATTGAGCACTCTTTTTAGTTTTCAACGAAAAACAACCGGTTATATATATATATATATATATATATATATATATATATATATATATATATATATATATATATATATATATATATATATATATATATATATATATTTAGTTAAAGACTGGCAGGTTTGAGCAAAACAATCAATAGAATAGAGGATCTGCGCCACATATTAAGTTTTGACACTAGGACATGACAATAAAAGGTCAACACTACTACGTAATGGATGTCGATACCTTCACGTCACATCAGGGGCAGACACCACAAAACAAGTGTTGCTATCAGCTACAGTACAAGAAATGTGACTATGGAAAACAAAATTAACGATTAATCTTAAAGATTATCAATTTTCATTATGCAATCTTAACGATGTATATTTCATTATGCAATCTTAACGTCTGAAATTAATATTGGCGGATCGAATTGAGTTAAATCGCAGTGCTTGAAAGTCCCAGTTTTTACTTCAATCACCTAAAATCGCCCAAAACTGGAACACTTTGCCAAATGATCTTAAGACAGAAACATCTTTGAAACGTTTTAAAGATAAATTAGCTACACATCAACTCTCTGTTCTCTAATCACTGATATATATTTAATATAATTAAATTAATGCATGTATGCACGGCTTACGGGAAGAACAAGGATGTAAATATGTAAATATGTTTTCTCTTTGATGTAATTACCGTGTTGAAATAAAACTTTTAATAATAATAATATATATAATATATATTATATATATATATATATATATATATATATATATATATATATATATATATATATATATATATATATATATATATAAAAATAAGTGCAACGACTCAACAAATTCCACTAGTTCTTAATTCTTAAAGTTTCCACTAGTTCTCAACAAATTCCACTAGTTCTCAACAAATTCCACTAATTCTTCTAATTCCAATTTGTTGAGTCGTTGCACTTATTTAATTATGGTCTGGATATCCATTGAGCACTCTGTCAAATGTTTTTGTAAACAACGAAACCTAATTCTATATATATATATATATATATATATATATGACAAATGAGGTAAGCGAAATTCTATATATATATATATATATATATATATATATATAATATATATTATATATATTATTATTATTAAAAGTTTTATTTCAACACGGTAATTACATCAAAGAGAAAACATATTTACATATTTACATCCTTGTTCTTCCCGTAAGCCGTGCATACATGCATTAATTTAATTATATTAAATATATATCAGTGATTAGAGAACAGAGAGTTGATGTGTAGCTAATTTATCTTTAAAACGTTTCAAAGATGTTTCTGTCTTAAGATCATTTGGCAAAGTGTTCCAGTTTTGGGCGATTTTAGGTGATTGAAGTAAAAACTGGGACTTTCAAGCACTGCGATTTAACTCAATTCGATCCGCCAATATTAATTTCAGACGT